CCAGTGCACTGCTGTCAGCAGCGGGAGATCCCACTGTGGGCGGGCACCCACTCACAGCACTTATTTATCTCCACTTCCTGAGGCCATGTCAGTTCATTCTCCTGACGTTCTCTCGCCTCCTTCCTCTGCTCCTCTTTCTCCCTTGTTTCACTCCTTGTTTCCGGGCAATTGGGTCTGGGCACTTGTGTTGGGGGTAGAGCGTGTGAGCTTGGAATGAAGCTGTGGGAAACTTTGTGTGTGTGTGTGTGTGTGCGTGTTTGTGAGTGTGCTGGAAGTGAGCTAATAAAGGACCGTGATCCATGAAAGGCCTTGAGCAAAGACACAGTCAATTACCTAATGCCTGGACCAGACTGCAGCGCCCACGCTAACACATGACACACACACACACACACACACACACACGCTCGCTCATATACCTCATTTACCTATAGAGAGAAGGCGGGCAGCGGAGGGCACGAGAGGGAATTGCATGCATGTGCGTGGCTGGATGTGCATGTGTGTGTGAGATGGAGAACAGCTATTTATTAAATTGCTGTCACTTTTGACAAATTTGTTCATGTTGAAAGGGTTAGGGTACGTCATCTCTGGGTGTAGGGTCTTCAACAGAAAAAGAAAAAAAACTGAGCCCAATCACAAACAGCTCAGAGATAAACTTCACTGGGAGCTGAGGTCAAAGGTCAGGTTGTCTGAGCTGGCCTCAGGATCAGGGTCAAGGTGAAAGTTGTTTTTCTTTCATGCAGTTGGATGTTGGTCTGAAGACTTGATCTGGTCGTTAAATGTCCGACATCAGTGGAGAAAAGAGTAAAATGTTGATTTGTGGAAGTGCCCCAACTGCCCCTGTACTGTCATCCATTCACTTCATACTACAGTACTACTGTAGTAATCTGTAGTTTGAGTGCGTATCTGTCAGTGAACCTGTGTCTACTGTGAATAAACTTAAAGGTAAAGTCTGCAGTTTTTTTTTTTCACTCCATATGGTTTTTAGTGTTTATTCACATTGTGTGTGTAGCTTTCCTCCCTGGCCTATAGGGGGCACTAACAACACATTTAAAACCCCATCCTATGTCTACTGCTGCATTCAATTATATTACTCTAATCCTGTAAACGGGGTCAGAACTTAAAACAATGTCATCAATGTCATTAAAGGCGCACTAGCATCTGGGATTGTAGCGCTGTTTTAGCAGCTAGCATGGTAGCGTGTTTTAGCAGATAGCATGCAGCAAATTAGCTGCATGTTATATAAGTTACGTTAGCATTACGTTAGTGTTAGCTAAACTATTGGCTTTTCTTCTTATTTGGTCTTTACCAGCAGATCTGACAGACTATTGGCTTTTCTTCTTATTTGGTCTGTACCAGCAGATCTGACTGTTGTGAGCTGCATTACTGCCACCTACTGGGTCTATTTTTTAACTAGTAAATATTTCATAAAGAGAAAGTCCTGGAAAACAAGAAAATACAGAGAGAACACATAAAAAATAACCAAAACACATTTATTAAAGTATATAAAACAGGTGACAGTGGTTAGCACCAGTCACCAGACTGTGGCGCTGTTGTGTTGATGGTCACAGGGGTGTAGGCTTGGTTGACTGTTAGAGGAGGTGTTCACTGTCTGACTGTGTTTCGTTCCAACAGTTTGTCACCGTGGAGGTTGACAGATCTATGGAGCTGCAGCTGCCGGGTGGCCTCCTCCAGGTGTGAGTACGAAGACGGCAGACACGTCAGGTGAGGACAGTCCACACACTGCTGCCACACTTCACCAGGTTGTCTGAACACCACCTGAAAACACCGGCACCAGCACACAGAGGAACAGGTTCAGGTCACATGACGACAGAACACAGACACACAAACCCACTCTCACCGCCTGGACCAGGTCAACATGGGGTTCAAAGGTCTTTGGACAGACAGACGGAGACGCGGTTGGTTGTCTCCTCCGTCCATGGAGGTGTTTGATTTGGACAACGTCTGCGGCTGTTTATTTATGTTTGTTTGTTTGTTTTGAAGTTGTTTATCTGTTACAGACTCGGTCAAATGTTGTGGCTTTGTTTGTCGTGACCTTCAGTTGTTGTTGTGTCCCAACACAGAGGAGAAGATGGGGTTGGAGGTGGGAGAGACTGAGGGGCGGGGGGGCAAAGAGCCTGTCCTTGTTCCTATCACCACAGGATCAGTGGTCTGGTCTGACCACAGCCTCAACCTTATCCATCACATTAGATACTTATCACAGGAGGGGAGGGGGCGGGAGGAGGAGGGAGGGGAGGGAGGAGGAGGAACCAGCAGGCTTCCTGTTCTGAACAGGCAGCAGTCCAATCACACACACACACACACGTGTGTGACATCCCAGTCCTACCTGACAGACAAATATATCTACATCATTTCAGAGAAATATATAAACATGTCTTTGCAGCAGTCCAATCACAAACCAGAACCTGAACCAGAACCAGAACCAGAACCAGAACCTGAACCTGAACAAACTGTGGCTGAACCAGAACCAGGGGCAACAACTGAAAATTAAAACAAAACTTTGAACCATGTGACTCTCAGCACAGATGTTAACGTCATCAACTCAAATATATACATATGTTTGTACAGACATATGTTTGAAGTACAGACAGCAGGGGGGTGTCAGCTCCTGGTGTCTGTGCTTCCTTCACCACAGCCCAGTGTTCCGTGGTCTGTCGTGTAGTGAGGACATGAAACCGTGAAGACATGAAGTGTGTGCCGGTTCAACTGCACCGCCTGTCTTTGACCCTCTCACCTGCTGCTTCCTGCTAACAATGGGGGGCAGTGTGGGCCAGGGGGAGGAGGACCGGGGACTCTCAGGGGACACCGGTGTTGTTGGGTCAGGAATGGCCACGAGACCAGTCCTTCCTCTGGTGGGGGGCTGGTACTTGACCTGCCTAAGCAGCAGCTCCGTCTCATGGGGGGCTTGCCTGAAAGGAGAGTTGAAGACCCCTGGACGCTGGAGAGAACGAGAAAGAGAGACAGGGAAAATGAGAGAGAGGGGGGAGGAGGGGGAGGGGTGTGTATGTGTGTGTGTGGGGGGGGTGATGTAAAGTTGTTTAGACTTGGAGCTCAGAGCTGTTTTCAGACATTAGTCCAAGTGAATGTTGGTCATTTATCAAACCCACACCGTCATACGGTTAGCTTAGACTGCTAACAGAACTGTTTTAGCAACAAACACATGTAGCATTAGCGTGAGCAGACTGCTAGGACTTAGCCAGTTAGCAGCCTAATGTAGTGGATTAACATGTCATGTGCTAGTACATATTAGTGACATGTTAGCTTGTTAGCAGTGTGATACATGTAGCACTGTGCTAGTGAGTAGTACGTCAGAGAGAGGACACCCAGAGAGACAGTGTGGTTCCAGTCACATGACGTAGATAGTGCTGTGTGAGAGGACACAGTCTCATTGGTCCACATGGTCTGACGTGGTCACATGACCTCTGGAGAAGAGTCGAACGAAGTAACGTTCTCCTGAGGAGAGATGTTCACAGTAGAACGACAACAACACAGAGAACCAGATCTTCATCCTTCAGAAAAGAAGATTCTAGTCTTTAATCTACCACACAGCAGGCAGAGGACAGGGACACACACACACACACACACACACACACACCAAAAGTAGCCTAGCTGTGGGAAGAGCAATGATGTTGACCCCGGAACAAACCTGCTCTGTCTCACTGTCTCACTGTCTCACTGTCTCACTGCAACTTCAGGCCTTTTAGTAAGCTCTCTCTCTTTCTCTCTCTCTCTGTGTGTGTGTGTGTGTGTGTGTGTGCATGGGCCAACTCTGCGAAGTCAGGAAGGATGAACTGTGTGGGAGAACCATCTATTCACTGTTGACAAGGTCAGAGCCACAGAGAGAGATTCCCTGGGATAGGTAGACAAAGAGGAAGGTAGAGATAGGAGACGGACAAAGGACGGAGACGAGGAAGACGAAGAAGGAAAAACCAACACCACCTGAACCAGCTGGTGTTGGTTTTCTTTTGATGACTTGACAAAATGTTTACTTTATAAACATATATATACGGATGAGAATGTTTTGTGACCATGGAAGAACATGAAAGTACTGAACGATGACAGAGCTGTTCTGAGCAGTACGAAGGAAAAGAGGGGGGAGAGAGAGAGAGAGAGAGAGAGAGGGTGGTGCTGAATCAACACTGACCAGTGTGCTTTGTCTTCATTATGATCACAGTAGGAAGTCTCTCTCCCGCTCTCTCTCTCTCACACACACACATACCTGTGCCAGGGGGAAGCACTAAAAGAATCCACTCAGCACATCAGCGACATGAAGACACACACACACACACACACACACACACACACGTTGACAATGGTCCTCCTTCTGAGAAAGTATTTAAAACTAATTGTTCCAATTGTTCCTGGTAAAGTAAAAGAACAGGTCAGAGTGTGTTGGACTGAGAGTTCTATAAGAAAACAAATGAGGTCAGAGGTCACGGTACAGGTCAGACCATATTCTCAGGCTGGAGTACTTCAAGTTACTTTAAATGGAACTTTCCATTTAAATCCAGTAAAACGCAGACTGATTTGTATCTAAGGTATTGGGCCATATACCTGCTGACCTTTGACCCAGCACCAGTCTGGGCCTGGTGGTTATACCTGCTGACCTTTGACCCAGCACCGGTCTGGACCTGGTGGTTGTAGACCACCTCTGCTAAAGCTAGTCTAACTGATGTCACAAACTTTGACCGAGGTTGTTCATCCACACTGGGGTCGCGACCCGGGCGGTGGTGTATCACCCACATGCTTGGTGCTGAGGAGGTGGTGCAGGCGGTGGGCTCGGTGGGCGTTGGCCGTCTGCTGTTTTATGACCTCCAGGCAGTCTCTCTGTCTTCTCTGGAGTTCTTCAAGTTCACTCAGCTCCGCCCTGCAGGGACAACAACAGCTTACTGCAGTACTAGTACTACACACCAAGACTGACTAGTGGTCAACAAAGGTAGTGCAGGTGGAACATCAGGAATTAAAGACAAGGACTTGAGGACAGTAATGAGCGTTACTGTAATGTACTGCAGTATATGTACTGCAGTACATATAAGTATAAGACCCCACAAATTCAGATTTCAACACACACACACACAGACGCGTCTCTGTGTGAGGTGTGGACCGGGCTAACGAGGCGGTGTGTCCGGTGTCTTCTCAGGTGGACGTGGATGGACCAACCTTCAGACGTTACAAATCTGTTTGGCTTTTGTCCACTACACAGCAATTAATAACACTGGAGCCGAGAAAGGACGCAAAGGTCAGCAAAGGTCAGCCACCATACACACTCACACACACACACACACACACATACCTGTACATAGCTACAGAGATCACGTCAGTTATTTGGTTGAACATTTGAATTGTAATGAATTCAACATTTTCGCTTCATAAATCAGTCATTAATAGTTCAAGTCCCATCGTTCATACACTGGTGTTTAAAAACATTTTGGGTGAGTGGGTGTTGTTGACCGTTCCAGTTGATTCACTGGTCCAGGTGGACCTGTCTGTTGTCCTGTCTGTAGATCAGCGTCACCTGGTACGTCCAGCTGGGCCACGGGACATTTTGTGTGGCTAACTGACAGGAGCTAACTGGTACATCTGGACCAGGCCGACTGCACCTGATGAGTTTCATTTATCATTTCACATTTCTGACCCCTGGCACCCCCCCGACCCCCCTCCATACACTGACAAATAATAATAACAACTGTTCAAGTTTAACAGTAATAGAACCAAACTGAGTCCAAATGTTCCCTGCAGCTTTTATAATGCAGACACACACACACACACACACACACACACAGACTGAATATAGATGTATCCAATCAGTCTAAAGGAGGAGGTTTGTGTCCACCCAAACTGGATCAGGCTCAGACCTCCTGATTCTCCTCCACAGCTGCTCTTCTTTCATCAACGTCCTTGAGAGCAGCACACACACAAGGATGAAAACAAGACTGGGTGTGTGTGTGTGTGTGTGTGTGTTGGGTTTTAAAAGAAGAGAAGAAAAAGGAAATTGTGTGGTTTCTCAGCAGAACATCTCCAAGTCTATAAATTGTCCCAGGGCTTTGTTTTCCCTCAGTTGTGTTGAAGAAGTTCAAAGATTCTGGAGCAGGAATTATTTATCTGACGGAGCTGCTAATCATCAGCCAGCTGTTTATGGCTGATAGAAGACTAATCCATGCAGTCAATAGTCTGTTGGTGGCAGCAGCAGTGACACCACCCCCCCCCCCGCCCCTTCTCGCCCCACATCAGCCCCATCCCACCAAACTTCAGAACCGTAAGGTTCTCCACCACTGATCTCAACAACTCTGTAGATTTCTACTTCATTTCTGCTTCTTTTTTCCAAACACATCGGTGTAAATGTAAAAAAACAAATCATCCTTCTAACAGTTCTGTCGTTTCACCATGTTCTACATCAGACAGGATAAAAGAACGTTCTCTGTGTCATCGAGGAAAAAACGTCTAATGTACAGTGTTATGACTCACTGACTCTGAATGAATATTTGAATATTCACCCACTGACCATGTTCTAGACTGAGTCACTGACTGAGTCACTGACTGACCAGGGGATCTCACAGAGTCACAGACACAGAGTCACAGACGTACGTGTCTATCGTTCCCAGGCCCGGCCCATAAGTGGGTGTTAAATGGGTCCATTAGTCCAACTGAATAATTGATGCAGCAGGTTGGACACACACACACACACACACACACAGTGTGCTGCTGGATTAGGAAGTGGGCAGTGATCAGGTGGTGTGCAGTCCAGGGGCTTAGCGGCCAACATGAGGAGGAGGTCTAACAGAAATGCTGCTGCTGCTGCTGCTGCTGCTGCTGCTGCTGCTGCTGCGGCGTTAACTGATCACGACCTCAGCAGAACTGAAGAAACATCTCATTAACTGAGGAAGTGTAGGGACCTCATCACCACACCCCCAAATGCTGTGGGGGAGGGCCTCTCTGTGTGTGTGTGTGTACATTAACAGTTTTTATTACGTCACAGCAAATCACTGTAAACCAGTCACTTTGTTCATACTGCAGTATTTCTGAAATACAAGTACACAAAACACTTGAATTTGTGTTTAATTTGGCCCAGAACCTGGTGATTAATGGAGATGAAAACTTTCATCTGGTCCCAGCTCTGATGATCACAGAAAGACATGGCAGGTTTACAGTGAAGTCCAGTGACGGCTGGACAGTGTCCAAGCAGGGACACGGCTGAGTCTTAAACTAGAACCATTCAATATCTATAACTGTGAACTAATCTATAAGTACAAAAAACACACTCTGTACCTGATGAGTTTGTTTTTCCTGGAAACCACCTGCAGGTGTCTCTGGCGTGCGTAGAAGTTGTGGACATATTTCCTTACATAGAAACCTCTCCACCTCTGCTGGATCTGCACCCAACACAAAACATACACAGATTAGAACATGGACTTCAATGTGGACGAGAACTAAAACAGACTTAAACGTAGACTCAAACATGTCCATGTCGTTGTCAGTCCATGTGTTCCAATGTTACAAGACACCTTTGTCCAACTGGACCTGTTTATCTACAGTAAACATGGTCCCATGAAGTGTGGACCTTAAACACCAGGTGACAGTCATGACTGGTCTTTGGACTCAACTCAGGGTGTCTAGTGTTGAAAGGCTGAAGCACCCGGTGACTCAAAGGCAGACTGATGTGTCCCAAGATGGATGATATACAGTGACTCTCACGCCACCTTATGGCAACAACATCTATTGGCACAGTTTTTTAGTTGTTTTTTTTTTATGAATCTGAATTTATCTACAAACCTCCTGACAGTTCAGTGTTTGGTTTTTGACTGGCGTCACGTCAACACTGACGTTGAAGCTGATTGGCTGATTTAAACCCAGTGCCTCCTGACTGCCATAGAAACCATTGTGGGAGCACTTTTTGTTCTGTCCTGGAACCATGGCAGGACAGCCCAAGGTGGAAGCGGCAGCTGTCACCTCCTCATACATTAACTGTATTGGTTCACATTGATTGTGGGGGGAGATGGGGGGGTGGGGGGTGGCTGCAGATGAGCTGGTGCCACGCACCCAGACGCACCAGTGGACTATTTTAATACCAAGGGTGGATGTCCTTCAGACTAATTAGGAGATTACAACAACAGCAGGTAAAATAATCATCAGTGTGAGAAGAGAGCGGAGGGAAAGTCAGGATGGCCAAAAACATCAAAGAGCAAAATGAGAATTAGCATCGATCTGTGGGTCAATAGATAATTTTAAATAAAGTAATTGCCGCCTCCCCAGTTCTTGCTGACCTCTGTTGACTATTGAAATCAATGCTGTTGAATCTAATACAAATGCTGGCTGTGCTGTGTAAACATTGGTTTCCATTATTGCCCTGATACGTTATCCTTTTGAAATTTCCTCATCTGTGATTTGACAACAGGAGGGATAAGGTAGAGTCTGGGCCAGGACCTGAAATGAGTTGTGGGGGCTGCTGCTCCATCTCTCCATCAGTTCGGGGGTCCTTGGTCCGAGGACCCTTGAGGAGCGCTGCAGCTCCACTCTCACCTGCAGGGGGGGTCATGATAGTGCACCACCTTCCTTCAGGAGCAGGGACCTCATTTATGGTGCTTTTGTCTGAGCTCAGACTCCAGATGCTTTAATGTGTTCAACAGCCCCGGGCCCTGCCCCCGGCAGCACTCACACCGAAGCCCCTGCCCCACCACCGCCACCACACATTTGCTAAAACAAGCCACTGTGATCATATTTACCCTGATGGCCATCGCCTCGTAGAAATTCATCTTCATGATAAAATATGCCGCCTGTGAACACAGAGAAATTGGCGTTACCCCTCGTCTCCCGGCCCTCTGATCTGCCCACAGCAGGCATCAAAGATAAAAACCTCTTTATACATAATACATCCAACAGAGACAGCACAGATAGACCAGTGGAAGGGGGTCGGGGGGCGAGGAGGGGAGGAAGGAAAGAAGAGTAAATCAAAAAAAAAAAGGGATGATAAAAGGCGGATGGAGAATGAGAGAGAGAGGGAGAGGGAGAGAGAGGATGAAACTGTCTCTCTTCTCTTCTCACAGCAGCACAGACCAGGGCTGAGAAAATCCATGGTCGTCAAACACTGAGCTAATGGAGATGTATGACGGCCAAACGCTCTCCTCCACATTTTATAATCAATGACAGCGCTGCCAGAAGAGAATAACAAAAGGCCAGAGAATATTTAGTGTGGCTGGGCTTGGAGCTGCCACACACCAAACGCTGGGGGCTTAACACTGGGGGCACATTTGAAGGTGCAAATGGTAGAGCTGGGGGCCATTAAAGGGATTAACATCTGAGTGTGTCTCTTTAATAAAGACAGAGGGAGTGAGGAAGGAGACCGTCACTTCAGTCTGAGGGTCTGGGCCGCCTGGTACACTGGACCAGGCCCACGAGAGAGAGAGGGAGGGAGAGAGAGGGAGAGAGAGAGAGAGAGAGGCGCTCTGAAGGAATCTCTCAGGGCTAATTCCAAAAAGTGCCCCGTGGCAGTGTGAGTGATTCAAACCTGTGTTTGTCTGTTTCCAGAGAGAGGCCAACACTTCCTTCAGCCATGCGTCTGTGTGTGTGTGTGTGCGTGCGTGTGTGTGTGTGCGCTCTGACACATCCCTTATCGTTTATTTGCACCGCCTTCCCTCCCAAAACACCAAAAACCCACACACACAAACACTCCCCCCCCCCGACTCCCCCAGTTCTTGAACGCCTCCCAAACAGTGTGGCTGGCAGTTATGCTTTAACAAACAGTCAATTTGCAGACATGATAAATAGCTTGTTGTGATACGTTTACAAAACTCAATCCAGGGGAAAATGATATGTGAGAGCGCTGGGTATTGGATCTGGTGTCAACAATCTGTTCAATTAAGAAGCAGTTGGGAAGCAATATGCTGGAAATGGGGCCTTGTCTTACCAACACACACACACACACACACACACACAGCAATGCTGCCTAATGTTACATCCTCTCCATAAACATTCCAGCAGCTGCAGTACAGACGCAGTATCTCTATGTCATTGTACCATATTTACTGAGTACTAATTTCCCAGTGTGTACTGCGAGTGAATGCAGTGACTAGTATTTGTGCAGGTCTTCAGGAATACTACCACTGAATTCTAATGCTGGTCATCATATCCTAGTCAATAGCTGTACAGTGTGTCTCTAGCGCCCCCTCACCTTCACCATTTGTCTGAAACGTGCCCTGGCTGTGAAGCCGCGCCACAGCCTCTGGATGATGATGGCGTTCTGGTGCAGATGTCTGTAATGAAGTCACATGATCAGAGCCACGTCTGAGAAACACTTCCTGTTCACAGTGGTACCTGCTCCACTACTACAGTACTACAGTACTACTGCAGTCCTGGTTCAGACTGTGAGTACTCAGTCTACTGTGTCAAAGATTATTTAGAAAATACAAACAAGAATAATTAGTTACAGCGCCTCCTGTGGAGGTGATTTAATTGTATTATTGTCGTCTGTGTCATTAGTTTAAATCAGTGGTTTGTAGCGGACACGCTAACAAACGCTAACACACAGAACGTCTCCGCAGCTCCAGGCGTTCTCCTCCTGTCCTACGTGTGGTTCCTCCTCCCACTGTGTCCCCCGTCTGTGGGTGACATGAATCTGTATTCATCCTCCCACGTACTCTAAATGCAGGTCTAAATCCTGCAGCAGGGAGGCCATCAATTTCTAAAGGCCATTTATATGCCCAGAAAATCAATGCTTAAAGTGAGTGTAGCACAACCTCACAGTGGCACTTAGGCAGCTTAAACTGTTGCTAATTATCCACTTAACGCATTGATCAATTAACTAAAGTAATCTGAATTAACCTACTGTCTGGAACTTTGTCTGCTGACCCTGCACAACGCTGCTGAGGTTACAGGACAGAAAAAGGCCCAGAGATGGCGCCGTTTATTTCAGAGCACACGTCACACTTACTCTCCAGCTCGACTGAAAAGCACTAGGGGTGCTGGGGGAGGAGGTGCTGGGGGAGGAGGTGCTGGGGGTGTCTTATTCTTAAGAACCCAGTCACTAACAGAGACCAGATCTTTAGACCTGGACACAGTCTACCTCAGGTAGGCCTGCACCTTACAGGCTCGGAACCAGCTCTGGATCCGGATCGCTGCCTGGTTCTCCGTCTGCCTGTTCTCATCAGCTTGTCTGGAAGAAAATGACCAAACATTAACATTAGAAGAGTGTTTGAAGAACCCTGAGATAAGTCTCAGATTTTGTTTTTTACATATAACAACCAATAAGATTTTTAGGCTAATCTGAGGAAGTCTCTGGGACCAGCAGCCTGATTGTGCGTCCCTGTTGTAGTCCGCAACCCAGATGTTTGTTTAAAAATACCCAAACACAAATACGTTATTTTCCCCCTTAACGACGCGATATTGACACGACACGTGACATTAAACAGAAACCTGAACCAAAGCAAAACCAACTTCGCGGTGTGTTCACATTTTACTTCAACCATGACAACGACTTTCTGTTAAACCCGCATTTTTTAAAAAACACACACACACAGCTCATGGAGCGATGACAGAATGAGTCAAAGGTTTGACCAGGGGACATAGCTACCGTAAGTCCTTGACAAACGAGCGCGAACTTTCTAAGCTGAACATGTTTCCACATCGATAACGACTCCGTAGCTAGCAGGTTAGTCTACGTTAGCGAGTGTGTGACTTTCTCCGAGTCTTAGAATAATAATATTAATAATAAACTTATAGTAATAATAATAATAATAATAATAATAATAATAAAAGATAAGTGAAACCTACTTCTGCCGGAGTGGAAATTCCTGTCGGAAGTTTCGAGCTCCGTCGCTCACACGCTGCAGAAGTTTGGACATGTCGTCTCCTCCGGTGTTTTACGGCACTTGCTGCTACATTACGACTTTTTCTCTCCGTCTCGTTCCTGCTTCTTTTGCTCCTTGTTCTCCGGTACTACGTCAGTTGAACGCTCTGATCAAAGACAGATGAATCGAACTGTAATTGCTGTCAGTGTCTGCGCCATGCCTTACCGGCCCCCGGCCGGTACTGGGCCGTACTTCAGCGTGTGGCTGGGACCTGGGCCTGGTACCATGTACCAGTGTTACTAAGTAATACACATGTTCATGTTGTTGTTTACCTGAGTGTACCTCCTAGGGGTTGCGGACCACCTGTTAAACTCTCATAATAATGCATTTGATTTTTATAATAAATTACATTTTGACATTTTAATTTATTGATGTATTTTTTTAAATGATTTCCAGGGTTGTCGAATGATTGGATTTCTTTTATCCGATGAGTCACAGTGGACGCTGTGGATCAATGAAGTGATTTGTCAACATTCCTAAGTAGGACAAAAACATTTTAAAAATGTGTTGAAAATCTTAGTCAGGTTAATGTTGACAAAATAATGAATGCAACAAAGGAGTTTATTTTAACAACTTTACTACGTAACAGTTGAAGAAATGAGAAAGAGTTTTGTCCTGACAATCATGTGTCATAACCTGATTGTTATTGTTCTGTTTACATCATAGCATTATTGTTTTTGTCATCATTCATTTGATTTCACTTTTTGCTCCCGTAGCCCTCCCTGCTGCTGCTGCTGCTGCTGCGGCGGCTGCTGCTGCTGCTGCTGCTGCTGCTGCTGCTGCTCGTCTGCCATATTTACTTGTCAAAAGTCTCTGCAGCAGGATAAATGTATCAGTGTGTGTGTGAGTGTGTGTGTGAGTGTAAGTGTGTGTGTGAGTGTAAGTGTGAGTAAGCTCTGCTCAAGAAAACATCAGTCTGGCCACTGATCAGTTGAACAGACTGTCTATAACAGATGAGTCCTTGGAGACAGGATAACAACAAACAGTGAAGGAGTGTTTCCCGTGTGTGTGTGTGTGTTACGTACACACTCAGTGCTTGTAGAGCGTCTTACCCTGTCACTTTGTCTTTCTGCAGGCCAATTTGCCGTCTGAGGACCAGAGTGGTGGCCAAGAGCGGGAGGCAGACGACCACGTCCACCTCAGAGTTATGGCTGGAGGGGTGAACCAGCGTGGCTGGGCTCATCCATCCAGGAGCAGCCACAGAGGCCGCCCTGGTAATTACAGCAGCAATGGTGTGGTGACAATGCTGTGAGTGTGTGAGTGTGTGTGTGTGTGTGTGTGAGAGAGAGAGATATTAGGGGGGAGTGTTGTTTTTGACGTGACTGTAAGGATGAGGTGTCACCAGAGCCGGCCCACAAAGATATGCACTTTTCACTAATGACCCAGTTCTGGACCCAACAAGTCCAAGTCCAAGTCCCATGTCCACTCTGTCTGTCTGTGTAGAACAGGTACCACAGTCCACCGACTCACCCTCCTCACCCTCTACTCTACTCTACTCTACTTTTCACCAATCTGACAATCTGTATATACAATATATATATATAAATATATATTTATATATATA